CTACGTGCTCCCTAGGACTGCATCTGTGGCTAGTTTTGAAGAATGACTACCCATGCAAATAGACATAATTTCAGCATGAAATAATCTGTAAAATCAAGACAGGAGTTCATGCTTAGTTTGCAACCAGGATGAAAAAAAAAATAACAATAAAAAGCTTTTAACACTTAGTAACATTATGGTTATTCTGCAGCCTTTGCCTACGTATTCTGGATACACTAAGAGAATTTTCAGAGATTTGGTATCAGACAGTTACGCAATGGAGGCGATGTTTGTTTGTGTTACCGACTCCTTGCATGCAGGAAAGCAAATGATAGAAATTAAAAAAAAAAAAGTCATGAAGTGAGATGGGAAACCCAGAACCTTATATCATTCCCAAAACACTGCCTTCAGAGATGGGTCTTTATCACATCAGCAAGTGGAGTTTGGAGGCTGTAGGGAGGAGCACTGCCGCAGGGCCTGGCTGTACCAACTGCACCTGAGTGCACGAGATGCTCGGGTAGCAAAATCCCACTCCTGCCAGTGACAGGATGGGCACTACTGGACGGCACAGCTTGTAAAACCCATCTCCCGCTTTCTTTGAATTGCTCCAAAAGGAGCAGACTCAAACTCTAATGATTGGGTCTTGCTTTTATAATAGTAAAAAAAAAACCAACTTGGAGGAGTCAGGTTTTCCGAAGGGTGGGTTTTGTACGCTGGGGGCAGGAAGGGACCACACACTGCCCCAGCTGTTCAGCGGGAGATACTCACATGGTGCTAACAAGGGTCAAGGTTGACCTTCCAGCCTAGTGGCGCTCACCTGAAAGCGATACAAACTAATTGCAAGATAACTGTAAGAGCCCTTGTTTGCTGCATGTACAGTACTCTGAAGGCATTCTGCGTAAAGACAGCAGTTGCCAATAGGAAAAAAACAACCGGCACCAAAAACCTTCATGCCTTTCCTTCCTTTTCTGCCGTCAAGTTATGCTTGATTAAGATCCAGCAGAATGTTCCCACACTCGCACCAAAACTCTCGTGTCATTTTCCCAGTTTTGTACGTTTCCTAGCAAATTTTAGGTGCCTGAATGCTGTTTCCCACTCTCTTGCCCAATCCCAACCAAGGACACGCATGGGGAGGGCTCACTGTACCCTTGAGTCAGCAGTGCAGGAAATAGGTTGTCCTGCACCCGGCTAGAAGGTCATTGCCACGCATCCTTCCTTCCTAGCACCCATCTTCCTTTCCCTGAGCCCCACAGTAGCAGCAGGAGGTGCTCCCTCCTGCCCTCATGAGAGGCACCAGGGGTATGGCACCCCTAAGCCAAGTGTTCAGCAGCATTTGCATTTGGCCTGGTGTTAGACTGAGCCTACAGACCACTAGCAGTAAGGCTCACGTCCCTTGTGGCTTGTAGATAAGGAACGGCTCTACTTTAGCCTGGCAAAATGGGAAGGACATTGTGCTGCCACTTCGTATTTTGGTCTTGAAGAACCAACACCAGTTCACACCTCAAGGAAAGCCCCATACAGCAGGATGCAAGCCCCAGCCTTGGATGGTAAAGAGATTAGACCAGGGAAGTCTTGGGAAGAAAAAAAAAAAAAAAAAAAAGAATTTAGGAAGTTCGTGTCCTTTACACAGTACCACTATTTGGCCTCATATTGTCTCAAAACCTTTTCATACATCTCCTGCCTCCAAATAGCTATCAAGAAATAGTCACTTAGAGATGGAACTCCTAAAGATTTACACATAGATCTTGACAATGTAAGCTGTATTTCTTTCTGAGTTGCATGGCCTGAGATTTGTGAAGGTTAAATGTGCTCGACATGTCACCCTTGATACTCCTTACTTGCCAAATACAGTTTATGTTAAATTCACACTCCGCATCTCGGGCCCCAACGCACACAGTGCGGCTTCCTCGGACACCGAATGTTTTCCATTCCCATGCAGCCCAGACCTGCAACAAGGGCCTCAGCACTTCCCAAGCCCACCCAAAAAATAGCTTGCACTATTTTATTTGCAAATTTACTTTTGAAACTTTTGTTTAAGGAGATTCGATTAAAATGCAGCTATAAAGAACTTCCTAATGGTTTTATTGTATATCCATGGGACATGCACTGACATGTTAAGCGGGAACGGATTAATTCCTACATATCAAAGAGTCACTGCTCCCAAACCATTGGCTAGAATGATCTTTAGAGAGGAATAGAACATTAGATATTTAATCGATTAATACAGAATTGATTTCCATCATCAATTTTATTAACTCCCTGGAAAGATGCAGATCATTTTCTCCCAGATTCATTCATATACGTAGGAGATATAAAGGATATTTCACTTTGATCACTCTCTACCTAGCCGCACCGAAGGGACTTGGTCTAACCTGAGGTGCCCAAGTGATAGGAAAGAGCCATGGAATACAACAGCAAAAGGATAAGCCTAGCAAATATTCACAGCTGAACACAAGGAGCTCTAAGTTCATAGAGCTGAAATTGTCCCTATCTTGTTGCAAGTCAACAACTCTTAGGTCTGGTGTTTGCCTGCCCCATGTCAGCTCACGACACCAACGCCACGCAAGGAATTCACCATGCTCCTGCTACCAGAAATATGCAGATCTTTCACTCCAAGGCACTGCATTGGGCATGGCTTTGCCAGAAGCAGCCAGGAAGAACACGATGAAATTATTGCAGTCAACAGCATTGCCCAGACAAAACCACAGCTAGAATCTGAGAGCAGATGATACTCCTTCCCCATAGGTCTGCTGAGCGCTGAAATCACTTCAACAACTAACAAAAGTACTACCTTTCTCTGTAGGGCTTTGGCACAAGTTTTCTTGGGATCAAGGCTTATCTAACTCCTCTAGCTGGGACATACCATGAAACACGGCAGAAATAATGAGCAACTCTTCTCATAGCAACAACTGCTGCATTAGGATTTCCCCATAACAAGAAGTAAAATTCAGAAGGCGATTAACTCCAAGACTACACTACCTTCAGCCCGTCCCAGAGCGGCCAGCAGGGCCCGGCCCAGCAGTCCCATGCTTCCTACAGCCCGAACCCGTGCAGGCTGGGAGCAAACTGGCAGGTGGGGGTCAGCATCTCCCTACTTTAGGCCTTTGGTTTGGGGGAGATGATGGCCCTCCTGCAACCACCTGCACTGCTGGGAGAAAGGTTCCTTCAACGAGAAGGATATTGAGCTGTTCGTGAAATTAACACGTTTTACTCATTTTCTGCTAGCTTGCTCCTTGTTATTTCACTGACCAGGAAGAAAATAATTCAGAGATAGCACTGACACGGCTGCACAGCAGATTCCTGCCACCAACTCAGCCTAAGTTCTCCAAGGGTTTACCCCACGTTCCACGATGCCCTTACACCAGAGCCCCACAATGAGTTAGCGCAGCCATCCACTGAGACAGAATAAACCAATCTGGGGAGCCCACCCACGGCAGCATTTACAGCTCTCCCCTGAACCAAATTAAACTCCAATTTCAAAAAGTTCTTAGAACTTAATCCCTCATCTATCGGCTGGTCATAAAAAGACAAACCGAGACATAAAAAGTACAAACCGAGAGGCCTCGGATCAGCCGGCAGGGAAGTTGGCTGCGTACACTCCGGCGGTCGGGACGCAGGTTGCCGATAATTTAACGGGAAGCAAAAAGCGCCCGCGGTGTACTTCTTACCGCAGCCCAACTCGCAGGCTGCCGATACCTCTCCTGTAGGTGATACTGCGTCCAGCCTCCCGCACAGCACCACCGCTAAAGGTGAGCCGCACGGAAAAGGAACGCGAAACGGAGCGGCGGCGCTCCGGCGGGGAGAGGCGGAGGGCGCTCCCACGGCCGTGCCCCGCGGCCGGGCCGGGTGCGGCGCTCCTCGGGGCTCCCCGCGGCCGGCACCTGCCCGGCCCAGCCCCCCGCCCGCCGCCCCCGGGTCCCGGGGATCCCCCCGCCCCGAGAGCTGCCCCGAGCGCACCCAGCCTCAACTCCGTTTCGACGCGCGGCAAAGCGCTCCCGGCCGGCAAAAGCCCCGAAGATCTCCGTCAAGGGGAAAGGGAAAAGTTAAAGCCCCCCGCCACGGCGAACAGCGACCGACCGGCCCGAGAGCAGCGCTCATCCCCCTCCCGTGCCCATCTCGGCGCTCCCATCCCTCCCGGCCGCTCGGTACCCACCGCCCCGCGCCGCTCCCGCACCCCGCGGCTCGTCCCGGCGTCGGGAACGCAAAAGTGACCGCGCTTAGGAGAAGGAGACTGAAAAGTCCCTGCCCCTCCCGGCCGGGGTTAAAAAGGAGAAGTGGCGACACGCAAAGGACGGGCAAACCGGAGAGACAAAAAGCCGGGCGGCAAGAAGCGAGACAAAGGGGAGTCTCGCAGGAGTTTAAAGCGAAGGATGGGGAACTTCGGAGGGAGCGCCGAACAACAGAACGGAGCCGCGGAGCCCCGCGAAGCGCTGCGGGGACGGAACAAAACGCGGCCGCGGGGCGGGGGGAGCGGCGGGGCAGCATCGCCCGCAGTGCGCGTCCCTCGCGGAGCGCTGCCCGGGGAACCGCCGGCGCTCGGGGGTGAAGTCGCGGCAGTTTCGCTCCTCGGGAAGAGGAGCGCGGTGCCGGAGCGGCGTTTTGCCGCTATTCGTTATTTTTCTAGCGGGAAAAAAAAAAAAAAAAAGAAAAGAAAAGAAAAGAAAAAGAAAAAAAAAAAAAAGAAAGAAAAGAAAAAGAAAAAAAAAAGAAAAGGACTGGAAAAGCAAAAGAAAAGGAAAAATAAGGGGGGCAAGGAAAGGAAGAGAGCATACTTACTCCGTGCAAAGGCGACGAAACTGAGCCTCTTTTTTTTTTGCCGCTGGACAGAGAGCGAGGCGGCCCGACACATGCACACCGCACGCACACACGCACACACACACTCACACACGCACAGACACACGCGCGCGCACACACACGCGCACGCACGCGCGGCCGCTGAATATTGTAATTGGGCGAAGGGAGGGCGAACGCGGGCGGCGCGGGGCCGGGGTGTGCGCGGCGCGGGGGCGGCGCGGAGCGGAGCGGGCACGGAGCGAGAGCGGAGCGCGGAGCGGGGCAGGGGCAGGGCTGGGCTGGGCCGGCCGAGCCGAGCGAGCGCTCCGCACCGCCACAAGATTTACTTTAAGACACAGCTGAAGGAAACAGGAAGACTACACGTCACGGGCCGGGTGACGTGAGCCCGGCCCGTCGCCCAATCGGAGGGCTCCTTGCGACGGGCCGGGGGGGGACCGGGGAGCACTTGGCAGGAGCGGGAGAGGAGCGAGGGGGCGGCGGGGGGAGCGCCGGGCCCGCCCCGTCCCCGCGGGAAGGTGGCCGCGGCCGCGCACCTGCGTGGGGCCGACGGGACGGGACGGGACGGGATCGAACCGGACGGGGCGGGGGGAAACTCCGGGGAAAGTCGGCCCCAGTGGGGCTGCACCGCTCGGGGTTCCCGCGCGTGGGTCCGGGACTCAGCGCCGGGGGGGGGGGTCGGGAGCGGAGCGTCGCGGTGCGTCGCGGTGCGGACGGGCCGAGCGAGCGGCGCTCCCAAAGTTTTGGGGAACTCTGTCCCGTTCCGAGCTGTAGCGGCAACCCGCTGCCGGCCGTTTTAAATTTCTGGGAGAAAATGATTTCTGGTGGAAGAAGCGGGGATGCTCGCGGCATCTCCCCGCTGCCGGCACCGAGCGAAAGTTTGCACGGGGGATGAAGGGAGAGGGAACCGCGTCCTGCGCGAGGAGCGTCAGGGAAGGGACTGGGAGTCCCGGCCGGGGGGGGCCGGGGGTGCGCCCCATCCGCTGCGAGAGCCGCGCACTGGGGCCGTCCTTAGAAACGGGGGCGCCGGGAGTCAGCCCGGTTACACGTGGAGGTTCCTTCGGAGCAGGGAGCGCTGCGGGGCTGAGCGATGCGGGGAGAGATGAGCTCGCTTGAGTTCTTTCCCCCTTTATTATTGTTATTTTTTAAAGCACATCGAGATCCGAGTAAAGGTGAAGCCGCGCGGTGCCGATTATACATACACAGCAGCCCCTGACAGCGCCTTGTCACTTTCGGGGCTCAGCGTCGCTTCGAGCTCTGTCGAGGAAACGCTGTCACCCAATGAGGAGCGAAGGGAAACTGAGGCACGGGCTGACCCAGGGGGACGCAGCCCCCCCGGCCCCACCTCGCTCTGCCAGATGCCGTCCTCCCGCCCCGCACTCTCCTCACGTCCCAGCGCAGCAGTTTGTAGAGTAACCCTGCCGCTGCCCGAATGGTGAGCGCTTGGGATTCTACCTCCTCCCGCCCCCAGTTAATTCTCAGTGATAAAGTTTGGATCCAAAGCCACGCTCAGGTGTGGGGGCTCTGATCCTGCCCTCGCTCTGCTTCTTGTCACAAAGTTCGGATCACGGCGTCACGTTTCCTACAGACGTGGGGCTGTGCTCAGCTGCGAGCTTCGGCCCCTCAGAAATAAATCCTTCTCCAAATTCTGGTGCCTCTGACGAGGAAATGAGCGCTGCGAGCTGACAGCTCTCTGCATTCGCATCTCTGTCTTCTAGCGGGAAAAAAAAAAAAAAAAAGCAGATGCGAGAAACTTAGGAAAACTTTTGAAACGTGCCCTTGGCCATGGGTGATCCCCCTGTCCCTTTGGAGGATGGCAACAGGATTGGAAGTGACAAGGGCTCACTGTTGGAAGTGCCTTTTCTTTGATCGCTCTCCTCGCTGTGTCTGCTCACTCCGAGTGAGGGGAAGGGCTGTGTGAGCGCTTTGCCGGTTTTCTTTTCTTTTTCTTTATTTTTAAAGGGATGAAGTATATCCAAGCATTTCGTGTGTAATGAATACCCCCTGTCATAAGGGCCTGATTCTGCTTTTATTTACGCCTATGTGAATTCATCCAGCGAGCATCACTAGCGCGTGTGCGGGGCAGAGGAGAGCTGGGTGCGGGTGTGCGTTGCTGCGGGGTCTGACACTTCCTCAGCCCCTCCTTGCAGATAAACCCTTGGAGGAGGATGCACCAGAGTTGCCTCAGCACAGTGCAATTTAACTCAAGAAAGTGGTATTGATGGAAACTGTTTAAAAAAAAAAAAAAAAGAAAGAAAGAAAGAAGAAGAATTAAAAAAAAGGGGGGTGGGGGGTAGAAAAAAAAAAAAAAGAAAACCTCCAGAGAAGAGAAAGTGACTCAAACTAATCCTATTAAACGTGGTAGCATGTTTCTGTGCAGTGCGCTGAGAGATTAAGCACAGGAAAAGGGATAAGTGCTGCTTCAGTTTCACTAAACTAATGTGACAACTTGTCATTGGAAATCTTTACAGCTTGTTAGCAGATGACTAGCTGATTCAGATATGTTTTCTACCATTTCCTTTGTGTCTGGGGGTGGTGTTTTTTCTTTCCTGTTCCTTTCTTATCCGTACTGCTCTATTCTGCTTTTTAATCCTTCATGTCTCCTTCAAGTCAAAACATTTAACTTGCTTTAATCAATATTTTGTTTTGAAGATGTCCCCTGACCTTTTGTTTGTGCAAATTAACCTTGAAGGGCACCTCATTCATTCATTAACCTCAGTGGGATGCCATATCCCTCGGACACTGCATTTTAGGTTGCATAAAGCATTTATGAATGTTTGGCGATATTGTAGTGAATGACGGTAATACAGCTGCTACTCCTACTGCTTCTAATGATATATTCATTGTTCTTCTCTTCTCTTCTCTTCTCTTCTCTTCTCTTCTCTTCTCTTCTCTTCTCTTCTCTTCTCTTCTCTTCTCTTCTCTTCTCTTCTCTTCCCTTCCCTTCCCTTCCCTTCCCTTCCCTTCCCTTCCCTTCCCTTCCCTTCCCTTCCCTTCCCTCTTCACTTTTCTTCTTTAATTTTTTGTTTGTTTGTTTCCTCCTCTCTCTGTTTCTTCACATATGGTTTATGTGCAGAGTACAGGCAAAACACAGGCTGGAATAACTTTTAGAATTAATAATTTCATTTCAAAAGCAGATGCCCAGATTCTTTAGAAACTGATTCTCCTCTCCTCTCCTCTCCTCTCCTCTCCTCTCCTCTCCTCTCCTCTCCTCTCCTCTCCTCTCCTCTCCTCTCCTCTCTTCTTCCTTAGCACTCCGCCACCACTAAAGACATGATGGTGATTGAGTAAATGGAAAAAAAAACATTTTTCAACATTAAAGGAAGAGTGTTTGGAAAAGGAAGGCCCTGCTGAGGTGTAGAGGAAGCCTGTTTATTAGCACTGGACACCTCTTATCTCAGGCAGCTCCAGATGCATGTCCCCTTGGCAATTCCCACTCTGCCAAGTGGGGTTAAGCAGGGTGAGCACCTTGACGTGGGCTGGTGATCACCCGCGGATCATCGGCTCCTTCAGAGAAACTTTAGCAGAAGCCAGACATGGGGGGAGGGAGAGCATCAGGCCCCAGCATAAAAGCTTGCACGTGGCCAGATTTACCTTTTGTGGCTGTTAAATTGCTTGCCCCTTGGGACAGAGCCAGGTTTTGATTGAGAGATAAAGTAGTTCAAATCTGTCAATAATTAACTGTCACTCAATTAAGGGTTTCTTAACAAATTAGCACTTGGTAGTACCTAAGGTGCGGAGTTTTTCATGGGAAAAGGCTGACAGAGTGACATTGGCCACTAAGTTTGCCTGCCCAATGAGGATCACCTTATGTCCAGCTCAGCTTTCATGCCATTGTGTAAATCTTGGGAACCGGTTCCCAAACCCCTTTAGTTCCCTGTTGACATTAACCCTTTGTGCTTTACTGAGCTAGGCAATGCAGGACTGAGTCCACTAAGTCAGAGCTGTACACAGGGGCAATGAGGTAGTTTCGGTGTCCATTTGGTAGTGGACATTTACTCATTTCCTTCCATCCCTTTCTAAACCTGCTATGACATTATGGCTTCAAGCTGCACCAGGGGTGGTTCAGGTTGGATATTAGGAAACATTTCTTCTCAGAAAGAGTGGTGAAGCACTGGCACAGGCTGCCCAGGTAGGTGGTGGAGTCACCATCCACAGAGGAGTGTGGGGATGTGGCACAGAGAAACATGGTTAGTGAGCATGGTGGGGATGGGTCAGCGGTTGGACATGATGGCCTTAGTGGTATTTTCCAACCTTAATGATTCTGTGATTTTGTGATAATCCTGTGGACATATCATCCCACTCTTCCCTTAATTCTCCCTTGAGAAATCATCAATGAAGGTCAGATGTTGGCCAGATCCAGCCACGGCCCCAAGGCCATACGGGGTACAATACCAATGCTGCTGGGACAGGGATCCCCACAGACACTAATGGCAGCAAGCCATAAGCTCGTTAGTCCCTGCATTCGTCCCTGCTGAGGAGGGGTCTGGTCCTTGTCAGATGGGATTTTCACAGCATCACTCCTCTGGGAGGTAGGACCACCAAAACCCTTCAGAATTCAAATGCAAAGCTCTAGCAAATGTAGACTTTGAGGTGGGAGCTGGTTTAATTCCATCTCTGTTTCTCCAGTAGAGCTTTATACTCAGTATGGTTAGGTTGCATCAGCCTCTGCTCCCCTCACCAAGCAGTTTTTGTGTTTTCTAACCAAAGCATGCTATTGTAATGCTGCATTAGAGTTTAAAGGCATCATCTGGGGAGCTGTCCAGGTGGTTCATTTATATGGAGACTTTGGAGATGCACACTGCAACAACTCATCCCAACACAGCCTTCCTTCCATTAACCCTATCACTAGAGCTGCTGGAGAGGGATGGCTCTTAGCCAGAGCCACTGTGGCTTGAAAACCCAACTGTTTCAGCAGCCTCCATGGGTAGGGGTTAGAGGCACATAACAATGTGCCGTGGGCTTCCCTGTCCTGGTACTTGTATGAAAAATCTCAAGAAGTTTGAAGTCATGAAGCAGGGGAGGAAAAAGCACATCTGGTCATTTAAAATCATACTTGATTTTAAGTCCTGATGCTGAATAATCAAACTGCTATTGAGCAGAAACATTGTTTGACTTTATAGGTTTACATTCTTTTGATTGTGTTTTTAAGAGAGAGGAGGATATTTCTATAGAGGGATTATAACCTGGGGGAAACAGTTTTGATGATTTTTTTTTTTTTTTTTTTTTT